TGGCCCCCAGAAGGGGCAGCGAGGAGGAGGAGAGGGCTTCTCGGGAGGGGCGGGATGGGGTGTGCCCGTGCCTTTCTGCCGGTGAGGGAGTTTGGCTTCCCACACCGTCGTCTTCCTTGAAAGAGGGGAGAGCGGGCTCCGCCAGGATGCTCCCTCCGTCCCAGCGCCCGGCTCCCGAAAGAGCCGCCGCCAGCTCCACCGGGATGGAGCCCTGGGCACCCCGCGAATATGCAGACGCAGCCAAACGCTTTCCCGGCTCCCTTGTGGAGCCGCGGCACCGTCTTGCTGTAACTGACTCTTTTTTTTTTTTAAGCAATGGAGGGGGCTAGTTCCCCGATTGATGCTCGGTGGCTGGCTCTTCCTACCCTCCCAGGCACAAACCTAAGGGTTCTGGCTAAATCTGAAAATTCATTTGGGCCGGGTGCATCAACTTTCCCCTTCTCGTAAAGGTTATCATCTAGGACGAACGCGATCTGTGCCAAAAGAACTTCTGTGTGGTGCTATTTAGTGAAATGCTCCGTAATACTGTATCGTAGTCATCTTCTGCGTTTTCTTGGATGCGGTGGAGGAAATGGGAAGCTGCATGTCCTCCATTAACTCTTAGTTGCTTCTGCTAGGAACGTCAGTTCAATTGAACGCTACCACCTGAACTGCTTTTACAGCCCAGGGCTCCCCTTTTGCGTGCTAGCGTATGGCTGTTCTGCTAGAGGATTTTGTTAGCGAGTCATTTGAACTTTATTTTGTCCATTAAATCTATTTGCTGATGAGCCCCTGGGCAGAGAGTATCTGCAGAGCGAACTGATCTTGTGAATTGACAAAATTGGGAGAAGAACAGCAAAGTGTATGTGTGGGTGGGTGTGCAGGTGGCGGATGGCTGGGAATGATTACGAATAAAACTATCGCTAAATCAGAAGAGCAAACGAGGCAGGGACTCGCTTCCCCAGCGTCTGCTATAGTAATTGAGAGAGAACCGTCCCTTACAGGTGTGTCTGAGCCCGCTTGCTGTGTAGGTGCAACCTAAGGAAGTCAGATGCTACCAGAAGGAGAATCTTTCGTGGAGCTGAACCCTACCTGTTTCACTTAGGTGTAGGGAGCTGTATAAGGCACTCTTTAAAAACAAAGCAGCAAAGGAAGCTTGATTTTCAACCTGTGTCTCTGTTTTCAAGCCCTGTGTGAACCAGATATGTTACGTGGTGTTTCAAACTGCAGTGACCTGTGTGTGCGTGTCTGAAATGCTGCCTGGGCTTGCCAGGTGGGATCCGTTCGGGTCTAAATGCTCCCTCGCCATCTCTTCCTTTCTCCCCTTTCTGTCTTTTTGGGTATGTAAGAGAAATCCACAGCAATTTCCGCCCCTCTATGCCGTCTCCTTACGAGGTATGGAAGGCAAGAATATCCTGATTAATAAATAATGTTCAGCTGGCAGGACTCTCCTTCATGCAAGACACACAAAGGAAGAAGAAAACCCACAATCTTAAAATGTTCCTGGCAGTTGCAGAGTCTCGTAACTATTATTTGTTTTAGGGAGACTGCTGATACCTTTTACAGCAGGGTGTTTCCCCTCATTAAATACAGCTCGGTTATAGGATGAAATGCAAGAAGTGCAAATCCAGCAGAAATTGACCCTGTTTGGGCACATTGATAGCAGAGATTATCATTAATGGAAGATTAAATAGATGACATAAAAAAGGATTTGAATTTGTAGGGCATGTGGAAATTTTTTTTAAAGCCTACAGCTGTACTTTCCTGATACATACATAAGCATCTCTGACTATACATGTGAAATTCTCTGAGGCTGCAGTATCCACTGGAGGGGAGAGGGAGGAGAAATGCAATCTTTCTGCCATGAACTGCTGACATGGTGTCACCCCAAAGCAAGTATCTGCATCTGCCACTAACAGCTCTTAGGAAGAAAGGGGATATTTTGCAACAAATCCATCCTCATTTCCTGCATGTTCCTTCTGTGCCCATTGCTCCAGCTGCTGTTGAAATGAAAGTCATGGATCCCATTGTACCCTGTGAATACAAATCTGACATGGCAAATCTGATGCCCCAGCTTTCAAAATAGTGCACACCCTTGCGTGATCCTCTGGCTTGGCAAGGCACATATGGGGGCAGGAGTTCTTTAGCATCTCGCAGCTTTTAAGAGAAGAAGCAGCTGTCTTTCTTTATACTGGTTCACGTTGCAGTTTATTGAATTGTTTTAACATGTTAAAAAGGGCTCAAAATATGATTTAGGAAGATGGAAGGCAAATCAGGATTTATTTCTCCTGAAAGCTGGATGATTGCCCACCTGAAGTAAATGTTGGTAAAGCCTTTTCTCTGTGTGTGTATTCATCTGAGGAGATGTTGTGAAATCTCTCTTTTTTTGTGGGTGTGCATAATGACAATAATTCTTGGTTGTGTTTCACTCAAAGTCAAGCTATCTGTTAGCTGTTTTGAAAGTTCTTGATGAAGATCCTTCAGGTTCTGACTAAGCAAAAGCCACTTACTCATCAAATCTCGCTCTGTGTCTTGTGCCTGCATGTGTTTCTCATGATCACGCAGAGACTATGGCTTTTCAGCATGAGCCTTTTTATCCAGTGCTCACATAAAAATCAATCACTGATTTAGAAGGATAGTCCAGCCTGTGGATCAGAAAAATCAACAAACTGACTGGAACACACCAGTGAAGTTTTATTTTTATCAAGCCATTCGTTTCATTTCTAAAGAGTCATGCCCTGATTTTTCCAATATGCATTTTTCATGGTATTCTGGGTTCTTCAAATAATGTTATTATCTTTAAATTGAGATACTGTACTTATAAGAATTCCTGTGTGAATTCAGCTATGAAATAGCCCTGTGGTTTCTCTTGTGTTCATGTCACCAAAGGCTAATGCAGAGAACTGAGGTCAGGCAGGTGGGGCTCAATTAATGCATAGTAACCAGGGAAAGAGGTGTTACAGAACTCCTAATCGATATGTCTTGTGAAGTCCAATTGCGACCTTTTTTTACGAGTCCAGACTGTAGCCTGAGTATACTTTGATTTCCTGCTAAAGATTTTCTGGTCCAGTCGTTTATCCTAGTCATACCTCTGTCTGTTTGTTATGCACGGCATGGGTTCAAGTAACAAGCATCTGGCAGATGAACTGTTACCAACACTGACATTTTGGTAAAAGCTGTTTGTTTTATTTTGCACTGACTCAAATGTCTTTTTCACATTAAGGATGACACTTAGATGCAACTGCGGGGTTTTCACCAACTGGAGGGTGTTGTGGGAGGTGCCAAACCGTAGTAAAACCAGACCTACTCTTCCCAGAGCTCTGAAACGTTCTGCCAACAAATGACATGTATCTGTGAACACTTCGCGTTATGATCATGAGCTGTCATTGAAATCGAGGGGAGCACACATGACTGTAAAGCATGTGCCTTTAACATTGACTAAGATTAATATGTCAGTTATTTATCAATTTGTAATGCATCAAAAGCTGTTGAATTGGAAAAAAATTACTGAGGTGAACAACTGGGAGTTCTAGAACTATTTGCTTCTTCCTTATTCCCACTTACTTTCTATTCACATACCATGAGTCAATGTACCGCAGACATGATTAGATTTGTGTTTCCCATCTTAAATACTTGTCAACAGGAAGGCTACCGTCAAGATAAAAATAATAAATACAGGATTGTAGTCACACCACTAAAGTGGAAATTACTGTAGTTTTATTTTATTTTTCATGTTTTACAGCTATAACTTGCTTCATCTGTTTCAATTAAGCTGGATGACACTGGACTTAATTCTGTTTTCCAGTTATAATTCCCATTATAGTTAGGAACTAGCGCAGTTATCACTGAGTAAATAAGTCCCACTCACAGATATGTACGTTGTTTCTATTCAGATATATTTCCTCTCTGTTCCTTTTATTGAAGTGTTTGTTGGAATCCCATTCCCTAGGAGAGCTTTCACAGCACTGGTATGATGAGAGGAAGGGATATGGCTGAAATTACTCCATGCTGCCTTTTAACCCTGAAGAAAATTCTTTTGGGGGCTGTAAGGATTCTCATTACGTTGATTTAACCTGTGATTACTGATAAAAGCAAAGCTTTGCATTTTATTTGGCATATTTTTTTAGCGTCTATACAAGGACATTATGTGATATATTATATGTTGACAACAGAATACCATTATTAAATTAAAGTATTGATTCATTGCAAAGTATTACGCTAAAGTAATGTCAGTGGTTTGTCTAAACCCACAGAAAATGGAAATTAAAAATTAAAGGACCTGTCTCTATCTACAGCATTGTGTCTACTGTTGCAGTACATTTATCATCTGACTCATTGGTTTGAAACCTCCTGCAAAGCCCAGTAAATACATGGATTGGTATGGATTTGGCTTTGACTTTATCTTTAAATTCTATAGCTCATGTAGCTTTCAGGAAGTACCTAAAACATACTAGGGTTTGGGTTTGCTGATTTCTTCCATGACTTGTTTGGAAACAAACTGCACAAGGGAAAGTGCCTAGTAAAATCAGGTAGGGCTACCTGGTCACCAAAATAAATCAATAAATAAATTGAAATCAGAGACTTTTGTATGTCTCTGAGCCTGGTGATTTCTTTTTGGGATTCTTTGTAGTTTAAACAAGCTTGCAATGCTCCGGTCTTAACTGTGCACGTGTGCGCGCACGTGCACACACACACAATACAGGCAGGTATTTGTGCGTTTGCACAGTACCTATTGTCGAGGAGGAGGATCAGGACCTCGGAGACTGTTGTAACTGCAGGACCAGTCTTTGCTAAGCAAGTTAACTACTTTGGTTGTGGTGCTTGTCCTTGCAGTGTAGTTCAGAAAAGGAACCCGGAGGTTTCATTGTAGCTAACTAGAGGGAATACCAAGTTAAAGTCCATCTCTTTTAATCTGGAAGTCTCTTTCAGGTTCTACTGTGCGGAAGGGATTTGTTGCCACTGTTACTATTAAGCATAGGTATGGGGTTTTTTTTTGCATTAGAATAGACAAAAGACAGGTAGGAAAAACAACAGGATACTTTGTGTTAATGGAGATGATTTCTTACTCTAAGGGACTTAGTTCTTGGATCAATATAGGGAGGGTTAGAAGTGTCATTTAATAAGGCGGCTGTGCTCCAGATCAAAACTGGGACTGTGTTTTCTCATTGCTCAGAACTGAATTTCCAAGGCGGGCAGCTCTTAAACCTACTTTCATACTTTTACCTTCCCCTTCATACCTAATCTCAAGCCACTCGACCGAGTGAAGTACATCTTCAGTGGAGGGAAGTAGCTTCCTGCGA